CGAAAATTTGTGATGATTGACTGATCTTGCCCAACTCCGAACGAACTGAGGCCGGTCAGAAAAATTATTGAACAATTTAGTAAGATGTTAGAAATAAATCAAGTATAATTATACGGATAATATAATTGATAGACCCACCTTTTCGTCAGTACTGCCTTGCAGTTCACTAAAAAGATCATTCGATGGTTGAACTGGTACTGGATCCTAAAATACTCTAATAGAAGCATATATACTGCAACGTAATCATAAATTGCAATTCGTGATATCCCCTAGAGAAGATATGGAGGAGTGTCGAAGATTCCGTTGCGAGCGGTCGCGGCGCGGCATTCTGTATATTGTTCCACAATGGATGAGGCTTCAACTATCTCTTTATTTTTCTTCACGAATCCCAAAAAATTGCACTGAGGTTTCAAAATCAGCACTGCAGCAAAAGGAGCGAAGTTCCAAGACCGCTGCGCAACCGCGCGCGGCCGAACTCGTCCAGCTCGAACTTATTTAGCACGTGTGAGTGAAATTGGTAAGGACATAATGAAATAAATTTTGGGTTAAGGCGTTTACCTCTCCTAATCTTTCCAATCCCATGAGCATATCCGTCAAGCTGCTAAGATGTTCGGCATTTTTCACAGCATCCAACTCCTTCTTCATGGCAAGTCGTTGTTCGCGCTTCTTGTTGAGCAGCGAGAAGGGCTTCCTCTACCTGAACGAATGGGGCTTCAAAAAATACAGCAAAAAAACCATCAAAAAGAAATACTATAAAAAACCAGAAGATGTTCGACCTAACGAACACATCAAGAAGCAGCGTTTCCTCGATCATATTCGCTTGCTTGTAATTGCAAAATGGAAATGCTATCACGCCGTACGAATAAAAGCTGAAAATCATACCAAAAATGGTCTACGTCAGTGACGCAGAGAACACCCACTCTGTTTCTCATGTCTCAAATCATGGCCAACTGCTTAATCTGTCCTTACGTACTGGACAGCATGTCTATCTTTGCCAAAATTTTCAGAACTTCGTCGGAAATTTCCTTCTAGCGATTAGTTGCTTCAGAACGAGTGAGTTGGCCTTAAACCCCTTAACAGACAATTCCACCAATTCTTTTTGTTGTGCAACGATTGATCGTACTGCAAGCCCCGCATCACCTTTCGATCCCGACCGCATTTGCAAAAGCCGCCATTTTGAAACTAGCTTTCCCCCATCGGAGGCCCGTCGCGCGCACAAGGAGAGTCAAGAGACGGTTCCGAGCGTACTGTTGGGGATTTTCGCGTCAAGTTAGACGAATTCACGCTGGAAAGGCAACCATTTCAAATTAACTTAGGATGGTGAGTGGTACACGAAAGAAGGAAGAACCATGAGAAACGGCCCAGAACCCGAGAAATGGTACCCCTTCCTTGCCCGTTGATTCGAGCATTGATGCGACTCTCATCGCTGTGCCCTCTTCAACACTACGCTCTCTCAGCTATCTAATCACTCGCCACGTATTGAACTACGGCGAGTGATCAGATGATCGGTGGGCGGAGATCGCCGGACCCGCCAGCTTTGAGGCATGATAGGTCGCCGAGGTCAAATTTTTTCCATGCGAATTGCGCGTCAGTTCGCACCCTCAGGAGGTCCGTGGGTCCCTCAACTAGGTCAGTTTCCCTTTCTTCGACCTTCATTCTAATCGTGAATTCCTCCTTTAAGTAGAATGTTCCATGTATGTCCTACGATCGCACATCATGCGCTACGACTCGTCCGCTCACTCAGCCTCCCTGCCATGCGACTTCTCCTTGGGGGTTGGTACCAGGTTCTGTACGTCGAACGGCATCAGTTACTTTACATCGCATAGCGGGCTGGCATATTTCAATGCCACGACGTCAAGCTTCAAACATCGCACATGCCGAAACATCGCCATACGATGGTGTCAAAGTAGCGTAGATGAATGAAACGCGTGGAAAGGATAAGGAGGATCACAATGGGAATGCAAGTCATCAGGAGCGTTTATACTTCCAGCACAAACCTGTTTTTCAGCGATATTCTTCAGCAGTTGGCTTTCCTTCGATAGCCGCGTTCAACATGTAAATTTCATCCGCATATCTGGTACAGTCAATTTTCAGCGATTCGAATTCCACCTGTGCACCACGTAGATTCGCCACCTAAAAACAAACAAACAGGGTTTGAGCGCACTACCAATCCACCATAAAGGCCACAGAAGCAGAACAAAAGATCTAGAGGACCTGGTGCAAAAGTTTTCGGGGCAATGTCTCAAAAAAGAGGAAAAAATGGGGAAAATTCAAGTACTTACCGTCTTTTGCAGTGCTATATTTTCCTCCTCGAGTTCGGTATATTCACCCATCAATCTCTGTTCTCGTTCTTTTGTTTCCTTCAGCTCAGCCTGAAAATAATATCGAAATCCTAAGTCTCTTGTTATGTTTCACTGACAATGAGATTTTTCACTAGAATGGCAATGCGCTATGCTGATCAATGAAGCGCGCGGTCGCGAAGCGGCTACCAGAGTTCGGTTTGGAATGTGTCGTTGAGTTGGAATGTAAAGGGAAGACATATAAGTTTAGCGTATATTTAGCTTCGTGTCAGCATACTACTTAGTAGGGAATAAGTTATACGTATGATAAAATGCACCACTTATATTCCCTTAACTATTCAATACAGTAACAAATCCCATACTGGACTACGGTAACCGCTACGCATCCGCACGCGCCCGTGACCATCAAACAGCGCACCTCGAGAGTTGCCAGATGGAATCGAAAGAAGAAAACCCAAAAGAGAAATATTCAGTTTCTGATCCCTAGAAAAATGTAGAAAATGAAGGAAACCTGGGTAAAAGAGAAACAAAACGTACTCTGGACCTAATTTTTTGAAAACTATCCCCTAACTTGAACTGCGTTGTACTGGCAATCAGAAGAAGTAAAGGAAAAACAGGCGCTATCCCAAGATACGAGGGCACTGTGATGACAACGCATTAGAACAAAAAAATCGCCTCAGAAGGGACTAAGCCTGAACTGGTGGGAGATACTCGAAGGGTGCGTATAACTTCCCATTTTCCCAAAAGTCCTGGCTTCTCATAGATTTCCTAAGAGAATACCCCGTATCTTCAGTAGCGCCAGAAAACAACTGACTAGATTAAATAGTAATAGTAGATCACTTTAATCGCGCCTCTGCTCTCCAGCGGCCAGGAGGCGGATGCTGAACTATGGGCAACTTTCAATCGTTCCAATTCACTCTGACATCGAGCTAGTTCCTGAATAGAGGCTTTTGACCACGAGCGGCAGGAGGAGCTGCTACACCGGCATGCTATTTGGATTGAATCTTTGTGTACTCAGACTGTTTCAACTTTTCTATTTCTTTCTTTTCTAGCTTGCTTCCAATCAATAAACCCGTGCTGCCCTTTCAATTACATATTGAAATATTTTACTGAAAAATGATACCGTACCTGTTCAGTGTTTCGTAGACTTGTTTCTAACACTGTAATTCGATCGGTGAGGCGGCTCTCCTTAGCGGAACTTTCTTGGATAAGCGTCATTTCGTTCTCCAATTCACTTCGATGGGCCGCTTTATGCTGAGATCGGAATTCGGCCAGCATCTTAATACAAAAAAATGAGACCCTGAGCCTTCACAACACTTACAAAATTTCTCTGTACAATTAATTCCTGACCAAGGCAGCCCCCTAAAGATGTAATATTTCAAGGGTGCGGATGTACGCTGATAGGAAATGAAATCAGCATCGCGAGTGAAGCAGCCCTACTGAAGGTATGGGGAAGAAATCCTAAAACTAAGGGGGAGTGGCAGTTCCCCCGTGGATAGAAACTCCAAAGACGAGACAGGTACCTGAGGAATTGGCACACACCCCCTCTGCACATAAGTCCCCATCCTTGCAATTCACACCGCCGTTTTTGGTAAGCAGCAGCTCAAGGGCGTGGCTTGTGAGTGGGCGGAGTCTATGAAATACACCTTTCGAGTTCGTATTCGCTGCCTCTATAGACACAGTCCAACTTGTGGGTGGAGCCATCGAAGATTAAAGGAAGCGATTGTTATGAAGAGGGGGCGCATCGGGAAAGTATATGCGCCACACGAAGCAGTTACTTGGCTGCCAAGGAAGCGAGGTGTGGCGCTTTCACGACGAAAGGTGCGCTGGTTGCTGAGCAGGACTTCGAAAGCGCTCCGCCCACTAGTTTACTTGGTGATTTGGTGAGCGAAGTTGACAGCAGCGGCACAACTGGAGCGACCGGGCTACAGCATGGATTGAGATAATGCCAAAAAACGCATTGCGGTAAACTCGTCCCCGCCGTATGAGCTGCTGCCGGTCCGTGAGCAAAAACCGACGGCCACACAGGAGGGTCCCTTTTGCATTTCATTGACGAATTCCTGAGCTTTTTTTCGCCATTGACATACCACTGAGTATCCTCTCCAAACCCCTCCAGAACTGTCGTGATCGCTGCCTTTAAACTCAGCAGTTCACTTCGCTATTTAATTGGCACATCCCTCAATGTATCTACAATGACAACGCATCAGTGAGATGGAAGCAATGGGATAAATGACTCCACCCATATATCACCGCGAAATGTACTTTTAAGCGCCTAAAGAGGACACTACGCTTAAACTGACACTACCATACAAGCTTTCCTTCGGAGTAAGCAAACCAGCCCTTTAAGCGTTTCTGCTGGGGCCGTATGC